GGGGGGGGGAGGTTCAAACAGGGGCCTATTTGCACACACCTCTCTAGGGACGGGCAGCGATCCATTCTAAGACTGTGTGTAGGTTGGTCAGCATTCTGAAGGAACACTGTCAAGAATTCATAAAGACTCCATCTCCAACCTCCCTCTTACTCCCCACTCCCTTTTCACACCCTTCTACTCATACCCAAATGCGTCCCAGAGATGGGTCGAAGAACGTTTAGCAAATTACTCTGTGGGCTGTGGGGGGATCCAGTGTGAGTGGCTCAAAGATGTCCCCCATGGACGGTAGCTTTGTGCAATCGCGTCCCAGCGAGGGGAATACATCACACTGTTCCATTGTTGTGATGGCACTGTATCAAGCACAGGAGGTAAAACAATAGAGGAGATAAACGATGGAAAATAATCCTTGGCCCATCAATCTGTGGTTTGTATGACGTAAACAAAGAAATGTCCTCATTTACATCATAATCATAATCTGGGCCTGTCTTGTTTTCTAATTCCATTATTCACAATCGGAGAAGGTCAGTTCAGTTTCGATGATCTATTGCAGTGGTCACCAACCTTTTCTGAGTCAAAATGCAAGCCGAGATCTACCACTCAGATTGTTTTTATACACGATTTAAAAAATGTGAGCCTATGCAACATTTTCCAACTAAAAACAGTTCTGTAGCAATGAGGTTTGTGCAGTAGGCTATAGGCCCAATACAATATCAGTGATATTGGCTATGCTTGAATTGCCCTGCAAATGTAGTTCTTCTTAGACTATTTTGAAATTATATTTAAAAAATGTAGGTATATGAACAAACTGGTAATAGATCATTTGTTGTATTACTTGTGAGGCACAGCTGAGTGAGCGTAATACTTTTTTTACTGTACTGATGGCCTGCATCTGATGGTCAGTCTGAGGGGAGGGAGGGAGCAGTGGTGAGGCTACCTCTCACCTGACTCACCTACGCTCCGCTCTCCCTCCCTCCATCGATTTCATCACTACTTGTATTTGTGAGACGTATTGCCATGTTGAAAGCACCGAGCTGTCTGTTTAAACGACTAGCACACAGCTCAGACACCCATGCATACCTTACAAGACATGCCACCAGAGGTCTCTTCACAGTCCCCAAGTCCAGAACAGACTATGGGAGGTGCACAGTACTACATAGAGCCATGACTACATGGAACTCTATTCCACACCAGGTAACTGATGCAAGCAGTAGAATCAGATTAAAAAAATAAAATAAAAGATAAAAATACTATACACACATGTACACATGGATTTTGTGTTGTGAAATCTGTTATGAATGTATTGTAATGTTTTTAAAATTGTATAACTGCCTTCATTTTGCCGGATCCCAGAACGAGTAGCTGCTGCCTTGGCAGCAGCTAATGGGGATCCATAATAAATACAAACACTGAGAAAGGGGTACCGGGGGACCTTCAACTGGTACCGGGGGACCTTCAGACGAGTCTTGTGAGGCCTGTGGGCGTCATTGAGACACATCCAATGCAAAAAACAGATATCTCTAGCTTAGACTAATGGATTTTTATGGGGAATTTATTTTATGCTAATTGATTTTCCCAGGTAGGTTTTCAGGATTTTGTTGGAATTGTTTTTAATAAATGTGTTTTTGCATGTACATTGAGTGATTGATTGGTTAATCTTATGCTACACAAAGTTAAATAACGTATTTTTTTTTACAAGCAAGCATAATGTGACTTGCAGTTAGGGTTGCAACATTTTGGTACATTACCCAGGTTTTCCAGAAATCCCAGTTGGAAGATTACTGCAAATCATTCTATCAGGTTTTTTAAACAAATTTATCTGGGAATATTGAACTCTACCATGTCTCTGTCACTAACAAATACAGTCATCGGTGGTAACAGTACAATTCACTCGCAAAGGCAAGGCACACCGGGAAATTATATTGGAGGTGTGGTTTAGTCAGGGCGTTATATCAAAATGTTCAAGCTGATAAAACTCAAATCTGGACCCCCTACAGGGTCACAGTGACTCTATCAGTTTGAGTAATGACTACAAAATCATTTTAAGTAACTGTACTCAGATATATTAAGTGCAACAGGTTTCCTCAAATGTTTTGAGTAATGACAGCACATTGGGCTTTACAGCATATCAATGGCTGGAATGGAATTATTGGAATGGTATCAACATATAAACATAACGAAATGACTATAACTGATGTTCCCTGAAGGAGGGAAACGAAATTCAACATACTATGGGAAGTTGCACTCTCGCGACTTCGGTTGAAGGGTCTACAATCACACCTGACAAGGCCAATGAAATCCACCCCTCGCTGGATGCCCCTCCTTCCACAGGTGATAAGTGTGAGGCTTGAATTCATTTCTTCAATTTAATACCGCTCTTCACTGACCCCAGGAACAAGGTGCGTGGAGCCAAACAGGTTTGGTACGTCGTTTCCCTCCTTCAGGGAACAGTAGTTATAGTCATAACATTATATAAAGCTATATAGTCATAAATCAGTTAACTTCGATATAACAATCACGCACCAAGCCAGCCAACGGATGCTAAATGAAATGGCCCATGGCAGACCACCCACACCTGACCCCACCAGAGGCGGCAGTCTGGGAATTGCGCACACGGCATGCTGCCTAGTGACTTTCCCCTGTCCCAGCCGTAAGCACACTGTGGGAGCAGACCCAAAAACCACCAAGACCAACAAGATGATCGGGATGAACCCAGGAACAATGCACCACTAAAATGCGGTGAGGATGATGATTAACTCCAACGCGGAGGCTGACGAGGACGGAGCCGCCGATCGCCGTAGAGCAGCAGCAACAACAACCGCCAGACCAGAAACCATGACCTGCCTGGAATTCAGCAGGGCAGTTCTCCAGAGAGGTATGGGCTTTGTCCCCTGTAGCTCAGTTGGTAGAGCATGGCACTTGCAACACCAGGGTTGTGGGTTCGTTTCCCACAGGGGGCCAGTGTGAAAAATGTATGCACTCACTAACTGTAAGTCGCTCTGGATAAGAGCGTCTGCTAAATGACTAAAATGTAAATGAAATGTACCGTCTGACATGGAGTGCCTGGTGAAACCACCAGGGCCACAGGAATCATTTGAAGCCAGTTTCAAGATCCAGTTTTGGTCAACATTCTGAAAGTGCAAAGATTCAGCATGGTTTAACAGATTGCAAGCATACCCTTTCCGACACCGAATCCAAAGTAGTTACAGTACAGTTTCACAATGAATGCGTCCAGGACTATAAGCAGGTTCGCCACCCTCAAGTTAGCGGCTAGGAGGGTCCTAGACGAAGACAACGTCTGGACTGGAGCACGAAAATGGCTGGGCGGAGTCCAACACCTTCCCACTACTATGGCATGCCCAAACTGTGCAGGAACAGTGGCCAACTGGCCAACATCATCTGCAAGAGCTGTAAAGACAACCATCCCAGCTCAGACTTTACCTCCACACGCCCCTGCAACCTGTGCAGGAAAGGGGGCCACTTCAGTTCTTACACCGGCAGGGCAAGGGCAAACACCCCCAACCCCCTGGCCCCTCCACTAGATAACAGCAACAAAGAGCCAGTCCCAGACCCAGACCTTTCCACAGACACCGCCCAACCCACCAACCAAGTCCCAGAAACGTCCCCCACCCCTGTCGGCACCTTCACCTCTGCCCCGCCAACAAATCCTTTCCTAGTCACCTCCACCCTCTTCAAACCCCTGGTCAAAGGGGAGCCGATTTTGAGAGAGGCCAACAATTGGTAGAACCGTTTGCCTCACAACTCCAGTTCTTAGACGACGATGATCCAAACTGAACAAAAATTACCAAACGAAAAACAACAGACAAACATCAAACCAACAACAGACCAGAAGACTACCCCAGAACCCAAACCCCGACTCCAGCAAACACTACCCGCAAAACCCCCTATCTCCTCTGAGAAACCGTCTCCCCCTCCGAGACCCCGCACTATGCCCCAGTCCATTACTTCCTATGATCGCTCCTCCCTGCCCCTTACTGTCCCTGATCGCCCTCCCACCACCAACTGCCCTTGACCCCTCTACCATAACCTCTACTGCCCCTGACTCCTCCCCCCTGCTCCTTAGCAGTCCGTCAGGCTCAGTCCCGACCCCCTGGACCCACCAAACCGACTTCACCACTCCCAGCACCCCCCAGTCTATCACCAAGTCAGTACAGGGGGCCACCAGGCAGTCAGTGGGGAGGCCCACCAACACCTGTGATCAGCCAAGAACCACCGAACAACACAAAAAACCCTCTAGAGGCCCTCATCCACCTCTGCATCGAAATTATCAAACCCGGACCTGGACACCCCCAAGAACCAATTATCATGACCCTGACAACACACTCAGAACTGAAGGACTTTCTTCAGATGGCTGTTCATGGTTGACTCCCCATGAGGGAAACCATCCATAGATGGCACAAGGTAAGTACAGAGAACTGCCCCCACTGAGGCAGTCAAACTGAACACACGTACCTAATGTTGGTGACTGCTCCGTGGCCGGGCGTGGTCTGGGCCCTGTTTAGTCCCACTGTCCTCCAGCCTCCAGCATCCAGCCTTTCCGTCGCTTTGCCCCTCCACCACCCCCAAACCCCCTTCTCCCTCTCCATCTCTCTCCCCTTTGCTCACTCTACACCTATCCCTCTCACAGAACCAGACCAGAACCAGGAACCATTCATCACCACACCAGAAGAGACGCAGAGGAAGGACAAAAGATCTAGAACTACACCCAGAGCGAGCAGGCCACAGGTGAGTACCATCACTGACCCTCGGGTCTAGGGCTTCCTTGTGTGCCTGCTTGCTCCTCAGGTTGTCTTTCCTACCATCTGCAGATCCAGCACCAGTCCCAGCACCAATCTAGATCCCGGTTCCAAGCACCAGCACCAGACCACCAGACGAGACGCAGAGGAGGGACCAGATCTACACCCGGAGCGATCAGGCCAATAGGGGGAGTACCACCATTGACCTCTGGGTCTAGGGCTTCCTCAGGTTGTCCTTCCTCCCCTCTACAGACCCAGATCCCGACCCACCTGCAGCAGCCGCAGTTCCCAGTTCCCGTTTTCTCGGTCCTCAGCACCAGACCCAGCACCAACCCCTTGTCTCCAGTCCCGGTCACGGCACGATGTCCAGTCCCGGCCCCAACACAAGTACCAACCCAGGTTTTCCCGGTGCCAGCCACAACACCAGCACCAACCCTGGACACAGCATCGACAAACCACAACTGCTACCTCCTTTCAGCAACTGCCAACCCAAACCCCTCCCCTTCCCCTCCCACCAACAGAAATACACACATACACCGTCATCCACTCTCCTCCACTAGATTCCTTTTTTTTACTGATTGCATTTGTCTACTTTTGTCTTTTTTGTTTTGTTCTTAGTTTTATTTTGATTTAATAACCATTTGATTAGCCTAAGTTGGATTGATGACTTATTGATATAATTGTCTTATTTAGAATTTCACCTTATTGATGGATTGAATTATGTGAATTTCCTTTTATACTGATTGAAAAACAAATCAATTGACCTTAAACATTTACATTTTAGTCATTTAGCAGACACTCTTATCCAGAGCGACTTACAGTTTTAGTGAGTGCATTCAATATTTTTATTTGTCATACTGGCCCCCCAATTTCCAGGAATCTTCCCACTGGAATTTCTTGAAAACCTGGGAAAGTGTCCAGAATTTTGCAACCTGCAAGTCATAATAAGCTGGCTTGCAAAGTGATGTGTAATTCCTATTGGAATCCAACCAGAGTTAGAATAGTCAACAGTTTGAATATTTACTCACCCTCAACCTGCATTCATAATGACTAAATGATTGGATTAGTTTAGACAAATGTATATTATTTATCTTTGTGTAGCATAAGATTAATCAATCAATCACTCAATGTACATGCAAAAACACAGATATTAAAAACAATAAAATAACAAATCTACCTGCCTTAGTGCATGCTGGGTAAAAAGTTTGTTATCATAACTTTAAGAAATGGGAGTTGCCACGGGTCCCCACCTAAAAAGGCAAATGATCGCTTCAAACCAAGGAACCTTGGGCCAATGGGGAGTCACAATAATTAATGATATGCCCTCCCGCCGCACCCTCTCCAACATGGGCTGAATCAGAACCACTGCCGGAAACGCTTAAAGAGGGTCCGAGGCCACTGGTGCGCCAGAATGTCCTTTCCCAACGGGGCACTTGGGTCCCTCATCGAGAAAAATAGATGACACTGTGCATTTTCTTGCAACGTGTAAAGATCTACGTCGGCCCTGCCGAATCTCTCCCATATCTGGGCAACCACCAAGGGATGTAGTCTCCACTCCTGAGGAACAGCCCCCCACCCCCTGGATAGCAGATCTGCACTTGAGTTGAGGCAACTGGGAACATGCTTCGCCTGAAGTGAGAGCAAATGCGTACTGCTCCACAGTAACAGGGAGCTGCCTGTTGATGTACTGTATGCCACTGTTGTCGGAACTGACCTGCACATGCCGCCCGACAAATATGTGGGGCAGAGCATGTGAGCGGAGTTCAGCGGTTGGAAATCCTGCACACCGCTCTGGTGCTCCATGTCCTTTCCTACCACTCTGCTAAAAAACGCTTTGAGCTCACAGGAGAAAAAACACCCACTCCAACTTCCCTCCATTCATTAAAATCACAATTTAACCAACACCCATCTATTTTTGTGAATACCTGGACCTACCAATTGTTTTTTAAGTATTGAAACCAAACCATATGGATTTGAATGAAAAGTATTTGAATAAACATGAAAAGGTGAATGTAAGAAGCAAACATAATTTCAAATAGGCTACATGTCATATTACACAGCATATAAACACTCTTAATACGTCAGGAGCCAGACAGGGAGCCTAAAAAGGAATGAAAATGAATGATTTATGCGATGTTATTTAAATTATTTCAAGGCTTAGCCTACAAAGAAATATATTTGAAGCATTTGCGAGTGCGACACAATAGGCTGGCAGGGACATAAAGAGTTCAGCATTAAAAACAACAACATTCTGTTGTATTAAATCATTATATAGTCTATACAATCCAGATATAGGCTGTGACTTACTTAGAATTCAATACAAATTAAACGAAAAATGACTTATTAGTGCCTTTGAATTCATTTTTAGAATTCATTTTTAGGAACACGAGTTTGGCCAGTCTGTGGCTTCAGGCTCATGTGATGGTGCCTGGAGAACCGACCAGCAGCAGAGAATATCCTCTCCACACTTGCAGAGCCACTGGGGATGCTAAACACCCTTTTGGCCAGTCTTACCAGGCTGGGCAGAGATGCAGAGTTTTTTTTTTCTTTTTTTCTACAAGTAGGCCTAAAAGTTTTTAGGCAAAATAACCCAATCAAAACAGAAAGCTCCTTGAACGTGGGAATATGCCAGGCCTATTGGGCAAAAAAATCAATTATGGCCTATTGTACAGATAATAGAACTAAAATGAAAGAAACGTTTAAGAGATCTGATTTGTAGTTTTAAAATACTTTGCTACAATGACACACTTAGTTATCTACCCACCTCGTTTCTTTCTTTTATCATGTCCACGTAGTAAGTACACCATCATGCTTGTGGGATAAGTGTATTTTCAGATTCCACAATGATTATTTAGTTGTGGACACTACACCACCGCACTCCCTCTCTTGCTCTTGGTCCTCATCTTTGTAAGTCACCTTGATTCAGCACCTGTGTATTTTATCAGTTTATTTCTGAAAATATTTAGCGAACTCCATGACAGTAGCTAAAGCAAGGGGCTATAGCAGCACACATGTAGAATACAAATGCATGCTGGGGTGGGCATGCCCTAAGCTCGTGAAGTGATGCTCCACCCTTTGGGTATCTTGCTCCAAGCTCCAGTCAAAGTGGGCACGCTCAACACCTCGCTACACTCCGCTCACATACTCTGGTGAGAGGTGCCTGAGAGCCAATTACGATGTCAGAAGTTCCAGGTAATTGATATGCCAAGCTGTGACACCGTCCATAGTAACCGAATTGAGTAACTTTCGCACAGCGCGCCCCACACGTCTATTGTGACCACCTTGCGGGACAACACCTGGCACCCTTGCGACAGGCTGGATGTGTGCGACACTGCTTGTTCCCTTGACTCTGCTGCTATTAGCCAATCGTCCAGATAGGCCTTGTCAAGCACAATTGTAGATCCTTCAACCGAAGTCGCGAAAGTGCGACTCCCAATAGTATGTTGTACCGAAGTTGAAGGGAACACTGAAAGGGAACCATGTGTTTGATGTGTATGCTACCGTTCCATTCATTCCATTCCAGCCCATTACTATGATCCCGTCCTTTGATTTAAAGTGCCACCACGTGACTGTTGAAGGCCCTTACCCTTTTGAGAATGATGATTCCTTCCTGATTGTGTTCATTGGTGATGATGTCAAACATGTTGCCTCCGTCCCCCGGTACGATGTTGTACTCTACTTCAGCGTTCTTCCCGATGTCCAAGTCATGAGCTTTGATTCTTCCCACAGCAGAACCCACTGGAGAGGACTCAGGGACTCTCAGGTGAAAGAAACCTTACAGACAAAAACAAACAAATAGATTGATCTAGACTCTAGTTCATTTTCAACTTCTGGCATTGTATTGGTCTTTTGTTCAGTGTGTCCCTAAATGGTTTGGAAGTGAGCAGCACAGCAACAGCATCTGTTAATTGCCATTGGTGGCATGGTAATTATTTGTGCAATACAACAAGAGAAAGGGAGGGAGAGCAGCAGACATAAAGAATAGACCGACGACATCACCCCTGGTCTGAACCTTTGTGCTGTAACATCATTTTGGAAATATCATAGTATTTTCACAGAGTGGAGTGACTGCCTGCCTAAGTAGGCTGTCGTAAAAGGCATATCAAAAATACCCAGAGACCAGAGCAGCATACTCAGTCACAATTGCATGTTTGCATTATTCCCTTAACCTTTCATATTCAGTTACAGGGTTTTGGAGAGTGATCTTAAATATATGTATAAAGGCTATATTCATAAATATGCATATTCAAAGTTGTTGTATTGACCAATGTTGTTCAAATATGCTGACTTTTGATTTTCATAGATCAATAAATGAATGAATAACAAAATCTTACACAATGACACAATATGCATGTTTGGCCTGCCTCCTGTATCTTACTTTTTGCACTGATTAACTATTTAAATGAATTGATTTGTTTGTTGGCTTAAAATAAATACTTAATTCCAGCTATTTTAATTACAGGCATCAGCTCCCATTTGAGTTGAACAACACTGCAACTGAAAACATAGAAACTCCCTTTAACAATTGAATAACTAATTAATGAAAGGTAAATACCGAAGTCTGTTTAAGTGAATGTGGCAAAGTACTAAGCTACAAGTAAATAATATATAGTAAGAAATGCAAAGAACATAGACATCTGCCCTGAGGGCATCAGCATCACACTACCAGTCAAAAGTTTGGACACACCTACTCATTCAAGGGTTTTTCTTTATTTGTACTATTTTCTATATTGTAGAATAATAGTGAAGACATCTAAACTATGAAATAACACATGTGGAATCATGTAGTTACCATAAAAGTGTTAAAGAAATCAAAATATATTTTATATTTGAGATTCTTCAAATAGACACCCTTACCCTTGATGACAGCTTTGCACACTCTTGGCATTCTCTCAACCAGCTTCATGAGGTAGTCACTTGGAATGATTTTCAATTAACAGGTGTGCCTTCTCAAAAGTTAATTTGTGGAATTTCTTTCCTTCTTAATGCGTTTCAGCCAATCAGTTGTGTTGTGACAAGGTAGGGGGGTATACAGAATATAGCCCTATTTGGTAAAAGACCATATCCATATTATGGCAAGAACAGCTCAAATATGCAAAGAGAAACGACAGTCCATCATTAGTTTAAGACATGAAGGTCAGTCAATACGGAACATTTCAAGAACTTTGATGGCAAAAGCCATCAAGCGCTATGATGAAACTGGCTCCCATGAGGACCGCCACAGGAATGGAAGACCCAGAGTTACCTCTGCTGCGGAGGATAAGTTCATTAGAGTTACCAGCCTCAGAAATTGCTGCCCAAATAAATGCTTCACAGAGTTCAAGTCACAGACACATCTCAACATCAACTGTTTAGAGGGGACTGTGTGAATCAGGCCTTTATGGTTGAATGTCTGCAAAGAAACCACTACTAAAAGACACCAATAAGAAGAAGAGACCTGCTTGGGTCAAGAAACATGAGCAATGGACATTAGACCGGTGGAAATGTGTTCTTTGGAAATGTTTGTTTCCAACCGCTGTGTCTTTGTGAGACGCGGTGTGGGTGAACGGATGATCTCCGCATGTGTATTTCTCACCGTAAAGAATGGAGGAGGAGGTGTTATGGTGTGGGGGTGCTTTGCTGGTGACACTGTCTGTGATTTATTTAGAATCCATGGCACACTTAACCAGCATGGCTGCCACAGCATTTTGCAGCGACACGCCATTCCATTTGGTTTGGCTTAGTGGGACTATCACAGTGACCCAACACACCTCCAGGCTGTGTAAGGGCTATTTTACCAAGAAGGAGAGTGATGGAGTGCTGCATCAGATGACCTGGCCTCCACAATCCCCCAATGCCAACCCAGTTTAGATTGTTTAGGATGAGTCGGACCGCAGAGTGAAGTAAAAGCAGCCAACAGGTGCTCAGCATATGTGGGAACTCCTTCAAGACTGTTGGAAAAGCATTCCAGGTGAAGCTGGTTGAGAGAATGCCAATAGTGTGCAAAGCTGTCATCAAGGCAAAGGGTGGCTATTTGAAGAATCTCAAATGTAAAATGTAGTTTGATTTGTCTTTTTGTGGTTACTACATGATTCCATATGTGTTATTTAATAGTTTTGATGTCTTCACTATTGTTCTACAATGTAGAAAATAGTAAAAAATAAAGAAAAACCCTTAAATGAGTAGGTGTGTCCAAACTTTTGACTGGTACTGTATAACCAATTATTCAATAAAAAAAATGAAACAGGAATATTAAAACCGATATTATCAACATGCTTATTTAACAGAGTTTAAAATAAACGTCATACACAGAACAGCACCATCCCTCTCCCTCTCTCTCTCTCTCACTTACTTTTGGAAAACCTTGGTGGGTTGTCGTTGACGTCACTGAGGGTGATGTTGATGGTAGTGGTCCCAGCCAGACCTCCCAGCTGACCTCCCATATCCTTGGCCTGGATAAGTACCTGGTACTGCTCCTTCACCTCGCGGTCCATGTTCGGCAAGGCCGTCCTTATTATACCTAATGGCAACATGGTATCTTTAGAACAGGTCAAATTGACATCTGACATCAAGGCACTATTATGCACATAAGTTGTGCAGTCCAAATAGGAGATAGGTGGAAGCAAGATAATAGAGAAGGGACAAGGTGAGTGTTAACGTGTTCTGAAGGATGGCTGATGGCTGCTGTATGATGCGTCCTTTTTGATGCCCTCTTTTTTTGCTAGATAGTTAAAATGTACAAATTACCTGGCTAGTACACTGTAAAAAAAGATTTGTTGAGTAAACTTAAAAAAGTTTGTTACCCTGCCGCCTTAAAATGTTAAGTCAAGTCCAATCTAAAGTTACTTCAACCTAGTATAGTAAGTGAAACTGACACATTTCGATTTAATCACTTGTTGAGTGAACGTGATACTTTTAGTCAAAAGTAACATTCTTGTAAAATTCTTACTATGAGCACACTTGGGAATCAACCTTATCTATTACCATATTTATTACTGAAAACATGTATTCACACACCAGCAAAATAAGAGTAGGATTAGGTTATTCATCTGTGGCCAATCTCTGTCATACCTACAGATTTGGTACCGAGCAGAACCATGCAAGCTCATATGTGTACCTCTGAAGGTACAGTGCCAGTATTCATCCCCCTTGGCGTTTTTTCATATTTTGTTGCATTACAACCTGTAATTTAAATGGATTTTTATTTGGATTTCATGCAATGGACATACACAAAATAGTCAAAATTGGTGAAGTGAAATGAAAACAATTTCATGTTGTATTCACCCCCTCCCTTTGCTATGAAGCCTCTAAATAAGATCTGGTGCAACCAATTACCTTCAGAAGTCACATAATTAATTAAATAAAGTCCACCTGTGTGCAATCTAAGTGTCACATGATCTGTCACATGATCTCAGCATATATACACCTGTTCTGAAAGGCCCCAGAGTCTGCCACACAACTAAGCAAGGGGCATCACCAAGCAAGCGGCACCATGAAGACCAAGGAGCTCTCCAAACAGGTCAGGGATAACGTTATGGAGAAGTACAGATCAGGGTTGGGTTAGAAAAAAATATCAGAAACTTTGAACATCCCACGGAGCACCATTAAATCCATTATTAAAAAATTGAAAGAATAACAACAAACCTGAATAATTATGCATGCTCGTTTTCAGTTTTTTTTGTCTTATTTCTTGTTTGTTTCACAATAACAAATATTTTGCATCTTCAAAGTGGTGGGCATGTTGTGTAAATCAAATGATACAAACCCCCAAGGTTGTAAGGCAACAAAATGGGAAAAATGCCAAGGGGGTGAATACTTTCGCAAGCCACTGTACCTTACGTGTACATTTTACCTATTTGTACACCAGGGAACAAAACTGTACCCTAACTGTACAGTACATTTTTGTAAATGTACTTTTCAAAATACAGTTCAGTTGTAAAAATACAATATAAGTCGTATATTTACTGTATTTTTACCGCAACTACGTAACCGGTAATGTATTTCACAATTATAAATCATTTTTAAAGATGTGTGCCGTAAGCACATCTGAAATATCCTATAATAATAACTGTAATTGCAAGGCATATTAAGATCATTTACAGGACGGTCCAAAAAGTAACCAAGTATATTGCAATTGACAGTAAATATACAGCAAAACAGTAATACAGTACTTATTTACCATACAATTATCAGTATCATAAAATCTATAGCAATTGCTAACAGTGTAGCTTTGTTAGCACAACAAAAAACAAACAGTTGAAGCACATTGATTTGACTAAAAGTATCAAGTTTATGCAACAAGTCATTAAAGGCAGCAGGATAACATACTTTTTTGTAGAATTTTTTTTTTCTCACAATTAACAATTTCTGTATTTTTCAGTTGTGTTGACTTTGGAAAATGAACTGAACAACTAAAAGGCTAAATTACTTTTTAGAGTGTAGCAGCCCCATTAGAAAGAGCCTATACTTAGAGGTGCATTAATGTGCCTGCAGTGAAGGCTGTGATATATAGAAATAGAGGTCATTTCACCAAGTGGACATACTTGACATTCAATACTGAACTAAGTGAGGCTTTATAATGACTCGCCAGAGGATCTGAGGGACCTTGAGATCAGAACAAATACAGCCGAGTAATGGCCACGTCAGCTAGGAGGATGTCAGCGTGAAAGAAGGGATAGAAATGGGGCAAGATGTACATTTCCTCTTCTCTTATTCCCCCATTCACAATATGAATAGGATGGATTTCACATTTGATCCTCAACTCCTGTGTTCTGCAAGTGCAACAAAGGATGTTTTTTTTTTTGACATTCTTCTCATCTCTCTAACAGGGAGGGATGATGCTGTGAAGTGCATGGTGATTAAGGCATGTGATTCTCTCCCCCACTTTCCCCTTTTTCGTTTCTCTCTCCTGCTTGTTTGTTCAGCTGCGTTGATGTATGTAGTGGCAGGATCAGCATGGTAAACATTTGTGTTAACAGTTGGATTTTTTCGCCATCGGGTTTGAAATACAGTCACAGTGTGTGTTCTGTATACTCTCCAGGGTGGAAAGGCGTAATCTGTGATAGATTCTCCCCCTTCCCTTTTTCCCTGTGATATCACGTTGGAAATGGTTATCATGATCTATTTCCTTGTATTTTTTCCCGCCCTTTTCTTTCTTTTGCACACTTTGAACTGTGTTATCATTGTGGAGATTGTGCAAAAAGATCAAACCTTTTTCATGGGAAGCTCTGTTTGAGCATGAATGCATACAGAACCGATTCAACCAAGACTCCTGAGGATAGAGTTTTTTTCCTGTGATATGCATTCATTTTCTTTCAGTTGCTTTCAAATTAAAATACATAATACCAATCTAAATTATAACACAGCCAATTAGACTTTTGAACACACTGATAGAAGTAGAAACTGTATCGACCATTAGGCTACAGCAAATACATATGGTAAGAGGGTTGTAGGGTTCTCGACAGTTAGCTGTCTATTATAAGACTGAGACTCACTGGCCCAGGCTGGCTCCCAGATACACATGACAACTGGAGCGTACAGGGTCGGAGAGGTGCTGATCCTTTGACACGGTCAAAGATCTCAAGCCACAACCATTACTACTGCAGTCACTACCACTAGCACTACCACTACTACTATTTCACAACAAAACATACTTTAAGAAAAGCAAGCACACACATTTTCTGTAGGAAATGTCCTTTTCTAGTTTAGTTTACATTTTCACAGAGGACAAAGTAATGTGCACTGCACGCATATTGAATTTAATTGCAGTTCCTTCAGAAAGCATTCACACCCTTTAACTTTTTCCACGTTGTTGTGTTACAAAGTGGGCTTAAAATTGATTTGTCATTTTTTTGTCAATGATCTACACAAAATACTCTGTATTGTCAAAGTAGAAGAAAAATAAAATAAAAACTGATTTAACCCCTTTTTTTTGGGTAGGCACAAAACTACCTTCATACTGTAATTCCATTCATTTTCTAAACTGGTACCGGTTACATTCAGACGAGTCCTGTGACACTTGTGGAGGTCATAGAGTAAAACAGTGAACGCCATCGTGTTTGGGACAATCTCCCCTTTCCACCGGAGGGTCACATTAGTTTGTAACCCAAACGGTTTGGACGCTACAAACAGAAGTTGGCACATAGACGGTACCAACTTCAGACGAGTCCCTTGGGACTTGTGTAGGCCAAACCGTTCAGATGCTACTGACGTTTTCGTGAGAAGACTGATTTTTGGGATGTCTCATAGTCTGACAAACACTGCTGTAGCTTGGCCACTTTCCACTGCAGATGTTAAAGTCCGCCACAGGCAGATGAGGTGGATTGAGACAAAGCCCATGCAAAATAACAGAGATCTCTAGCTTAAACTGATGGATTTTTATGGGGATTTTTTTATTACGTTACTTAGATTGCCGCACCGTTGCATTAATAGACTCTAGGGGGTTCAACTCTGTAACTGTTTTAAAGTCACCATTGGACTCATGGTGAAATCCCTGAGCGGTTTCCTTCCTCTCTAGTAACGGAGTTAGGAAGGACGCCTGTGTCTTTGTAGTGACTGAGTGTGTTGATACACCATCCAAATTGTAATTAACAACTTCCCCATGCTCAAAGGGATATTCAATGTCTGCTTTTTTTTTTTACCCATCTACCAATAGGTGTCCTTCTCTGCGAGGCATTGGAAAACCACCCTGATCTTTATGGTTAAAATTCACTGCTCGACTGAGAGACCTTACAGATAATTGTATGTGTGGTGTACAGAGATGAGGTAGTCATTCAAATAGGTCAGTGAGAAAAAATCTCAATTTAATCAATTTTAAATTCAGGCTATAACACAAATAAATGTGGAAAAAGTCAAGGGGTGGGAATACTTTCTGAAGGCACTGTTTATGACTATTCAAGCTACAGAATGTTATTACCTGCTGTCATACAATTTCCAAAAATGTGAAATGTAATTTATAAGCGATATCACTGATTGTGTTTCCAGCCTTAGCAAATAAGTTAAGAAAGGGTACAAAGTCCACTTTCTGTATAGCAATAGCTAGGTTTCCAACCAATTGATGACATATTTTCATGCAAATATTCTCAAATCAGCATAAAGAAATATGCACATTTTCCGACCAGTGCTGTGTCTCCACCAAACGGACTCCACCAAACGTAGTGCACACAAAATGTATTATTTCACTTAAGTTTTCATATAACTAATAAAAATCTAAAGTTCAACTCTATCAATAGTTTTGTCACAATAACTGTTGCGTTAAATAGAAAATGTGCCTACTCTGGTCTTGGCACGTACGCTCTAGCCAACAGCTCGCAGATACAGTGCGGGTAGGCTGTGGTCTGCAACCTTGTCTCAGAGCATTTCACATTATTCTGTATGTAAATCCGGGACACTCCATTTAGTATGATATGTTATGTTTGCATGGTATGTATTAATCTGTGGATGTCCATCACCCATTTTGTATAATTATATGTTATGAATTTGCAAAACGTACAATATATTATGAATTCGCAACACATACTATATGTTATGAATT